CTCGTCGGTTATTTCTGGGTTCGGCAAAAAGCGAGAAAAATTAAGTAATTAAATTCTAATACCATGAATTAAATTGCAAAAAATTAATTACTCGTATTTATTACTATAAGAGATAGTTTGCATCCTTAAACCTGCTCCATTGCAGATATAAAAAAATTGATGTTTATTATTTTTGACTATTCTAGAAGTGTACCAAGTTTTATTAAATTCAGCGAGTTACAGAAAGGTAGGGTTACTTGTGAGACAAATTTTGAATGTTTTATGAGACATTATGACTTGACTATTATTCCATGAAAATCTATACTGTTGCACTAGCAATCTCTTAATAAATGATGTTTGCATTTAGTATTTAATTAAAACAACACATATCGCCAATTTTTTTAAATATTGTTATTATTAATAATTAAAAAGTATACATACATATATTGTACATAATGTATTTTAATTATTCTTTTGGATGCATAATAGGATGCATAATAGTGACTTGGTGATAAAAAATTTCCAGAGTTCTAGATGATTTATGGTTTATCAGGAAACACTTGCTCTATTCTGTTGTAGGTGATCTTGTTAACAACTGACATAATTATTTCAGAGAATTTCTTTTCCATTACGGGCTCAATTTTATTAAGCACCTCCTGTTGATTATCGTTTACGACTTGTCTAATAGCTTCATGTAATTGAACCAAATCTTTCTCGCTGTTATCAAATTCAATTTTGAATGTTTTAAGATGGATATCAAGGTTTACTTTCGATGCATATATTTCTGTTTTATTATTTTTAGTTTCTATTTTTAAATCAATGCTCAATATTGCTTCTACGTTATCTGCAAAAAAAAAAGTTTGATTATTTCAATGAAATAACAACTAGAATTATAAATTTTTTATATGTAAGTAAATAATTCTAAACTTTTGTCTCGTTTTAATGTAAGATAAATGTTATATGTACCTAGAGAAACGTTAACTAGTCCCTTATTAACAAGTGAAACCAATATACGTATGTCGACGTCATATTTGGAGTGCACATCAATATGTTTTTGCACGACATTCATTTTCAAATGAAGCCTATCAGAGGATGTATTAACAGACTTTATTTCGAAATTGCAAAATCCTGTTACTTTTACATCTTCGAGATTTAATTTAAGATTATTTGTGTTGAAAATAATTATTTTGTCAATAATTAGTGGCTCGCTAGGAGGAATGTCAAATTCCGGCATCCCTGTACACACCCTACTCTTTGCAATGTTGGCGCTATCCAAGATACATTCATTATAATTGGGATTTTTGCGGCCACACACATGAATGTAGGATGCTATAAAAAGTATTATATAAAACATCTGTTTAATTTGAAACTTAATATTATGTATTGGTTAAGATATATAAAATGAGTTAAAATACAACAATTATTTCAAGATAAAGAGAGTATCTTTTGTAATGTAATAAATGTGTAAATACAATTTGTTCTTAATATTTATTATAAACTATTTTAATATTAAAGAAATTGTTATTAAGGGGTCACATCATCCCTGATGTCTCAAATTGATACCTAAGTTTGGGATTTTTTTGTGGGCAAATAGATAACTTTATTTAAAAGCTATTTAGAGGATATTGTTGAACATATATAAAAAAATAAAAAAATATTTTTTAATTTTTTTATGTACAAAATGGCGGCGTAATGGTCTACTTGCGGAGTCCCTTTTTTTTTTTTTTTTTTTTCAAATTGGTGTATAGGATTCCAAGTATACGGTTTGTCATTAAACAAAACACAAAGAATTTTCATTACTTATATATTAAAAACTATAGAAGTACGAAGGGGTTTTTAAAAATATTAATTTTTCTCAAAATGGTAGATATTTTTACGAAAAGTTCATATTTTTGTCAATAAAAATCCTTCGTAAAATAGCTGCCATGTTAAGAAAAATTAATATTTGAAAAAATCTCTATGTACTTCTCTAGTCCTTAATATGTATGTAGATAATGAAAATTCTGTATGTTTTGTTGGAGAACAATTAAACCGTGTGTCTGGAATCCTGTATACCGATAGAAGAAAAGCGATTCAGCAAGTGTGCCGCTATTTTAAACATAAGAAAAATAAAATAATATTATATAATTTTTTACATGTATGTACAATTAATAATGTCCTCTAAAATTTTAATTGTAGTTATTCATTTACCCACAAAAATCCCTAACTTAAGGTAATTTTTGAAAATTTCAGGGGTGGTGAGATTCCTTAAAGTGTATAGATTTTATTATATTATAGTATATTTTTAATAGAGTAATTGTTAATATTTTGTCAGTGAATTATATAAAACTTATAATAAATAAAATCAAATGTACTCCACAAATTAAACAAATATTACAAAATTTTCATAAAAATATTTAATAAGGAGAAAGAAACGGAGCGGCTATACTTTTATTTTAACATTGTTTGTAAATAATATACAACTGTATATAAAATACAACAATACATTAATGTAAATTACAGTAGGATTTTAATTTCTAATCTGCCATGCTTGTTAATCATGACTTAGTTGTCTTAGTTAGAAAAAGTCAAAATAAAACTTCAAAACTTCATTTTGTACTTAAGGATTTCACATTTTAAACAAGAGATGAAAGATGTGTAATAATGGAACTTGCAAGAAAAAAATAAATAAACCTAGCTAGCTGATACTTTTTGTTCATGTATGTTGTAATTGATTGTAAATGATTGATATTAAACTTATTTTTAACCAAAAGTATCAGATATATATATATATATATATATATATATATATATATACATAGTTATGTATTAATTCTGAACATTGTTCATTGTTAAAATAATTAATAACCACCATAAGAGCTATTTATCGAGATAAATATTGCAAATACGCTTATTTACGTACGTAGTTCCTCTGCAGCATATGTCGTTACAAGCAGAAAAGCAAAGAGTGCCGCAAACATTTTTTGAACGAAGACTTTCTTGCAGAAAAGGAACACGAAATTACTTTGGAACGAGGAAATATACAACGAAAATATATAAACAGTAAACTGGTCAGGCTTCTATTTACAATTCACAATCCCTTTTTTTGAATGTTCCCTCAATATTCACTAAAATTTTTACGGCACATGGATTATAGAATTTTCCTTCTACGCTTCAATCGTTTATGATACAGACTATGATACAGTCTATGATACAGACTTATTGTTAGTGTAATTTTCTTCTATGCAGAACCATTTGCTCAAGTAAATTAAAGTGGGAGAACAGGAAAAATTATTTATGTAAGAGATGCGGTAACGGCGCGATGTCAAGTACATAAAAAATTATCTTATTCAACCTAAGTGATATGTATATCATTTGCATAAAATATTTGTTGTCAATTATAGTTGGCGTTAAATTATACTTTTATAAAATGATTAATTTACAACCCAAGTGGTATGTTTGTACAATACAAAATGAAATAACTAAATCTTAATAAAATTTTTTTTATGTAAAAACACTCGGCGTTTTATATTTAATTTAAATAAATTTCTGATAAAATTTATTATTTTAAAATTTTTTATTTATTGTTGTTTTTCTTATTAGGTCTAGCAGGGCCAAGTATTTTTACATAAAAATTATTTTATTAAGATTTAGTTATTTTATTTTGTATTGTACAAACATGCCACTTGGGTTGTAAATTAATTATTTTATGGGAGTAATTTAACGCCAATTATTGACAATAAATATTTTATACAAACGATATACATATCACTTAGATTGAATAAGATAATTTTTATTTAACTTGACGCCATTTACTGATATCAAATCTTTTATACAAGTAATAGTAATTGAACAGTTTTTGAAAGACGTTTTACATAATATTTATTTAACTTGACGCCATTTACTGATATCAAGTCATTTATACAGGTTATAGTAATATACATCACTGAAGTAAAGTTAGTTAATATCAAAGTACAAAGGATACCATTTAGGTTTTATCTTTTAAAAAAATTTAATTTAATTTGGATACAAGTTTTTTTTCAAGGAGCGCGCTTACACTTGACACTTTTTTTTTACTTTTTT